CAGGAGAGGAAGACCCTCTATGAGGTGGATTGATTCAGTGACTGGGATAATTGGGATGGGAGTGTCAGAGACAGTGCAATTGGCACAGGACAGAGCGGAGTTTAGGGCTGTTGTATATAGGGTCGCTATGAGTCGCAGGCGACTCGACGGCACATAACAACAACATGAAGCAGGATTGGCATTCACTTCTTAAATAACAGACCTTTGAAAACCTTATGAACACTATTGGAATGATGCTGGAAAGCATGGGGGGTCAATGAAGGAGAGTTGGACCCTCATCCACGTAGACTGATACAGTGACTGCTGCGATGGCACAGGATTGAGCAGGGTTCACATCCTTTTGTTCATAGGGTCGCTGTGAGTTGCACTCTATTCTATGGCACCTAACAACAACAACAAACGAAAGAACTACCAATTCAGGGACATGCCATTGATTGTAAGACACACTCCCATTTAGAGATTTTTAAGTATGAGGGGAAGAAATGTGTTCTTCTAATAAAATACAGAAATACCGCAATGCCTACAAATATTTATTCTCTTAAATGACTTACAGCTTACATTTTTAAGTACTATTAGTTTATCAGGATCTGTGGTAACCTAGTGGATAAGAGTTGTGCTGCCAACCCAAAGGCAGGCAGTTTGAATCCACTAGCTGCTCCAGAAGAGAAGGATAGACAGTCTCCTCCAGTGTGATTTGTTAGTTACAGTCTAGTTGACTGAGACGTGTGATGACCCTATGAACAGACTGACCCTGGCCTCATCCCATGGCTGCTGTTTGTGGCTTCCTTGTGTGCTTTTGGTGTCTGCATTATGGTAGTGCTGACTTCATAAAACCAACTAGGAATGCTCCCCTCCCTTCAGTTTTTCTAGAAGAGATTATGTGGATTTAGCATTATTGCTTCCTTAAATATTTGAAAGAATTCATCAGTGAAGCCATGTGGCTCAGGAATTACTTGCAGGAAGACTTACTTAACTTACTTCCTTACTTACTGATTCCATTTCTTCAAGATACAGGGCTATTTGAGTGATCTGTTACTCTTAAGCTTTAGTTATTGATGGCATTTGAAGGTACTTGTCATCTAAGCTGTCATATTTATTGGAATAAGTGGTTTATTGCTGTTGCCTTTTAGTTGACTGTGACTCATAGCAACCCTTTGAACAGCAGATTGAAACTTACTCTCTGGCGCCGTCCTTAAGGTCTCTGATGTGCTCAGGCCCATGGTTACAGACACTATCAGTTCATCTTACTCAGTCTTTCTCCCCTTCTCTAACTTGCCACCTTTCCCAGCACGTGGTTTTTTCCCCCAAGGACTGCCGTCTCCTGACATGCCCAGTGTGTGAGACAATTTCACCATCTTTGCCTCTGAAGAGCACCTTGGTTTCACTTTCTCCAAGACAGACTTGTTTGGTTTTTTGGCAGTCCATGGACCATTTAGTACTCTTATCCAACACCACAGCTCAAAGCATTGATTTTTCTCCTGTCATCCTTATTTATTGTCTAACTTTCAGGTGCATAGGAAGCGACTGAAAAATACCATGGCTTGGATTAAACACCTCAGTCTTTAACATCATTTCTCTTTAGATGTGTTCCCAGAGGCAACACATCTTTTGATTTCTTAATTGCTGCTACCATGGGTGTGATTGTGGATCCAGGTAGAATGAAATACCTGACAATGTCTGTCTTTGTTCCTTGTGTCATGATGTTGCCTGCTTGTCCAATAGTGAGGGTGTTTTTTAAATGTTAGATGTAATCTATAATGAAGACTTAATCCTAGATCTTCTGATTTACGGTCTATAATGAAGGCTGTAATTGTAGATCTTCTGATTTACCGTCTCCAAAAACCTGCTAGAGGGCCAGCTGAGTCAGTTCCATCTCAACAGCAGTGAGTTACTTATGAAAATGTATAGTTATGTTACTTTCATTTTTATGAAATGGAACAAGATAGCTATTAAGTCTAGAAACGGGGACTCAGTGTCCCAGTTCTGAGTGTGTGCTGTCGGTGGCCTCTGTACCAAGTTCGTTGCTTGAGTCTTGAGGCGCCCTGTGTGCTGAACCCCTGGCCTCTTCACCATCTTCTGTGGTGACCAGCATGTGATCATGAGTGGCAGTACTACTGATTGTACCCAAACAAATCGCAGACATTATTTTCTTTCATCTATAACTAATTTTTATATCATTTCTAAATGACAAAAATATTTTTAGTGTTTTTTTTTTAAAAAAAATTTATTATTTTTAAAATTTTATTATTTTTGCGTGTGTGTACCATCTTATCAGATTTGACTGGCAGAGAAGGAAATTGCCCTTCCTTCTCCAGTGGAGCATCTGGTGGATTCGAACAGCGTACCTCTGGGATTACAGTGCAGGAGACAAAAATATTTTTAAAGGCTCCACAGTACTATTACCATACCTGAAAGTAACAATAACTCAGTATCATCAAATGTCCAGTCATTTGTCAGATAAATCTTTTTATATGTTTTGTTTGATGATACTACCCACAACAAGTCACCATAATTTAGACACAAAATACGTTGCCTAGCGTCTGCAGCCATGGTATTTGGATTCCATCAGGTAGTGCAGTGGCTTTACTCTGGCTGATGAAAATTGGTGCTACTAAAGCATGTTCTTCTTAAGTCCTAACCGATACTCTTGCTTTGTTTCTGCTCAGGAAACGCATCAGCAGCTGGCTGATAAAAGGAGTCTCCATGTTGTAGAGTTCCGGGAGGAATGTGGCCCTCTGCCCATTGTGGTCGCCTCCCCCCAGGGCGCCTTGAGAAAGGATCCAGAGCCAGAACATGATGTTCCCGACACCAGTCTGGACTGGGAAGATGTGAAGGTGTCGCAGGGAATGAAGCGCTCTATGTGGTCAGGTTTAAAGAGAGCGGCCACCTGAGAGCCCAGCTGGCCTTAAAGGGACAGTGTCCGCTGCTGCCCAGCGCCTCACACTCTGGATGTCACTTTATCATCTTTATAAATAATAAATAATTACAGCTTTCATTTATTGAGTACTTTCTGTCACTTTGGGAGGCAAAAAAAATCACAGTATACTGATCTTTTCTGCAACTATGAAATATCTGACAATGACTGTCTTTTTTCCTTCTGTCATAATGTTGCCTGCTTGTCCAGTAGTGAGGATGTTTTATTTTTTTAAATGTTGAGATATAATCTATAATGAAGACTTTAGTCCTAGATCTTCTGATTTACCGTCTCCAAAAACCTGCTAGAAGGCCAGCTTAGTCACTTCCATCTCAACAGCAATGAGATGAGCTAACTTTTAGACTATGCAAAAGAAAACTTTCATCTGACAGATGGGGACATCTGAATGCTGACTTGACACATACATGTTGCAGTGGAAATTTACTGTAAATATTCACTTAAACTAGCAAAATGGTCTCAATCAGTAACGATATGTAATAAAATAATTACTATCATAATTAAGAGTCCATATGGGGCACTTCACCGAAGACGACATTCAGATGGCTAACAA